ACAAACAGATTCATCCTGGAGAGGGTTAAGCCAGGCTGTTCCTTGGAGGCAAGGATTCTGGGGCTTTGTCTGACATACTTTGGACATGTTGTAAGGAGGGACCAGTCCTTGGAGAGGGACATCATGCTTGGGAGGATGGAGGGACAGCGCAGGAGGGGAAAGCCCTCTATAAGGTGGATTGAATCAGTGACTGGGGTAATTGGAATGGGTGTGTCGGAGGCAGTGTGATTGGCACAGGGTAGAGCAGGGTTTAGGGCTATTGTACATAGGGTCGCTATGAGTTGAAAGAGACTCGACACATACCAACAACAACAACAAGGTCTGCTACCAAAAGAATAAACCAAAATTGAGTAAAATATTTATTCTGTTATGAATGAATTTGACGTTTTAAGGAAAAACCTCCGTCAATGGTTCTTATCCCTGGCTGTACATTATATAACCTACAGAGCTCTTAAAGATAAATTTAGTCTAAAGACCAGAATTTTTGGTTTAATCAGATGAGGCCCAAGATCAAAATGTTTTAGAAGCTTCCCAGGGGATTCTGATCTGTGCCTGCAAGAGACTGTTGGCTACTTGTGAGCAAGGACATATCTTTTATGTGTGTATGCCTCCCAACAGGGCCCTGTTTAATCAGCTCCAGCAACCAGCCTTACTCATCTTGCAAAAGGCCTAGTGTCAAAGAACAATGACGTGGAAATAGCTTGGATCGGTCCCTTACAACTTCTCTCTTCTAAAGCAGGAGCAAATTTAGGTTTTTTGTGATCAACTGAATCAGCTTCCTGATAATAATTGCAGCAAGTTAAACATGAGAGAGAAAGAGTGAAGACAAGTTTAGATCCCAGACTCTTTCATTATAGGCTGAAAACACATGTCTGAAGTCTCCTTTAGTATATGTGATTAACGGCTGTGAAACCTAAGCTCCTGTGCTGTGTTTGCTGCATGTGCACAGTGTTTTATAAGTGTCTTTGTAGAAGACTGCCAGTACGGTGAATTGACACAGTGACTTGATATACTCAAAGTGTATTCAAGATGGCAGGGGAGCAGCACAGGGCAAGGTTCAGATCTGTCATTCAGAGTCACCACAAGGCATAATAGACTTGATGGCACCTAATCACTTATATAAGACCACGAGTCTGTTGGGACCAAAAAAATGCTTTGTAATTCATGGTACCTAAGAGGTACCCACAGAAAGGGAAGGGGTGAAAGAAGGAATGGGAGAGGGAGGGAGGGGATTAGGGAGAAAAATGTTCTTTTTTTTTAATTGATAATGAAAATTTATAAGAAACTTGGATTTCCATTTATTCATTGTTGCACATTTTCCTCTCTACCCCCACTGCAGTTCCCTTTTCTCTTTAAAAAGATTCTTTAATTGTTTCACCATTTCCTCTCCCTCTCCCCCATACCAGTTTGCTGTGCACCTCTTAGTCTGGACTACTGTCATGCAAATAATACCTAATAATATATTCCTTTTAAACTGTTCTTTCCTTCGTCTGTTCCAATGCAGTGTTCATTTTTTTTATCCCCTCTTTTCTTAGTTTCCCTCCAAGCCCCATGTCAGTCCTGTTTTATAACAGTGGCACTATGTAGTATTTGTCCTTTAGTGACTGAGATACTTCACCCAGCATAATGCCCTCCAGGGTCACCCATGTTGTATAATGTTTTACGAGTTCCTTGCTTTTCAGTGCTGCATAGTATTCCATTCTGTGAATATACCACAACTTCTCTATCCATTAATTTGTTGATGGCCCTTGGGTTACTTGCTTCTTTTTGCTCATGTGAACTATGCGGCAATAAACATGGTTGTGTGTGTGTGTGTATCTGCTTGAGTGGCAGTTATGGTTTCTTTAGGGTAAATTCCCAGTAGTGGAATTGCT